GGACACTCTCGTTCACGTGTACATCCCCATGACACACTCAACTGATCACTGCTTAATTTTCTTACATATTATTTGCTGTTAGTTGTACAATAACCTTAGAAACCTTATTCTCCACCTATTGCAGTTTTGTACATATCTCAAAATGAAGTTTTAAATCAGTACTAAAACAAAATTCAGTGGGAGTCTCAAAATATCTATTAACTCCGGTTGGGCCGGTTCCTCTCTCCCTTGCCACCCACAGAGTTTAACTGTCCTCCAGACAATGCACGTCAGTGCATATTGCACAGGTTATTATAGACCCACCAGATCCCTTCCTATGGTCAGACTTTAAGCCATGGTGACAGGAATGTTCTCACTTTCTGAACCATCCTCACCTCTTTCTGCTCCAGCTTCCCAACATGATAAGGAGAAGGAAACCTGCTAAGAGAAGAGATGGCAAGTGCAGGCCGGGCTAAGGGGTGATTTGTGGATAACACTTGGATCCTGTAACTCTAGCGGCCTTTCCCAAAACCATCCTAAGTAAATATAAAATTTTAAAAAGAAAAACGGTAGCTATTTTGCCAATATAGCTTCAAATTCCTTAGCACTCTACTCCTACCTCTCCCCTAGGCTTCCAGAATGCTGTATTCTAAACTTCTTCTTATAGGAATCCTGAGTCCCCATTCCTGGCAAAAGCAGCTGCACCGCCCTTCTCTGGGGTATGCTGCAGCATTAGCAGTAAAAGGCAGCCTGGTTGTTTCAGTGCCTCAGGACTTGGAAGGGAGATTAGTGGGTGAGAAGCTCTTTCCTGCCCTTGGCTGCCAGCTGGAATCTGGAAGAAGTTCAATTTCTCTGGCTGTGTAATTGCAGGTACTATCCGGATGGGTTACACATGCGCCCTTCTCATTTTACATGGTATATGGTTGATTCTCACCAGCAACTGAGGAATGCTACTTCCAGAGCACTGTAAGGAAACTGCTTACATTAGATAGTGCCTTTTTGAACAGGGCTACTGACTTCAAGCAAGGCATTTGCTTGAAGTAATGCTATCAGAACAACAATCTATGTCTTGCTTCATAGTTGCATGTTGGACAAGGTTCCTGGACCAAGTACACTGAAAAACCCTGTAGAGCAACAGCTGAAAGTACAGGATGATGCAATGAAAGAAAGTCTGACTTTTCCCTGGCTCCTAGCAGGTTCCTCTCTAGCCCCGAATCTTCCCCAAGTCACTCCCTCTCACCAGTTTGCATGCCACTGAAAGCAAGGCTGCTGTTTCCTACTGTTTTCTACATAAGCAAAGGGCTTATGGGCACTAAATGTTTTGCTAATTAGGTTATACTTACAAACATGAGGCAGCAGCGCCGCAGCTAAGTAAATCTAGAGGAACCAAGAAAGGGGCCACAGAAAGAGCCAACTGTGTAAGCTAGACCCCCACAGAAAGGCATGCGGAGGAAAGAGCCTAAACTCCTAGTGTCTTTGGAAGATGAAGAAATGCGATGCTTACATGCATTTTATAAGACAATGAATGATTAAAAAAATTTTTATATATATACCATAATAGGAATAGCAGCAGGACCAAGAGAACCAGCTTTAACCAGAATTATTTTAAACAAGCGCATGATATTTATGTGTTACCTGTATAATTAAACTTTTTTAAGGGGAAGGGAGTAGTCATGGAGGTGGAATCCAGTCAAGCATCATATAAATGAATGAGCCCCATTGTGATACAGTGAAAAATACAGGCAGATGAGCCACATATTATCATAATGACTGTGTATGATGAAATCCTGATGCAAAGCGAGTTAGAAAGGAAGGTGCTACCACCCCAGTTCACCTGTGTGTGGTGTTGTCATGTGTGTGGTATTTACTTTCTGAGGAGATGGGCCATATAACTGATAGAGCTCCTCAGATCTCCGTTATCCTCTATACAGTGCTCAGGTCAGAATGAAAACAACCCCTACCACCACCACACTGTTACTGCTCTGAAAAAAAAAGTAGCAAGTTGGTTAAGAACACTGGACTATTGTACACTGATGCCCATCCTTGGCTAGGCTCTTTGCAAGACCAGTGAGGATAGAAATGGCTCATTAATGCCCTGGAGTGTCTTATTACTCATCTAATGAGAAAAAGACTTCAGAGAATTTAAATTAGTTTAGTTTGGAACACAGTTCTGTTCTTTTTTTTTTTAAGTATGCTTTTGTAATTATTTAAGAGCCATTATGGGTTTGTTTGGTTTTAATGTAGCCTCAAAGTAAAATTGCTTTCAGAGGAAAACCAAATCAACAGAACTAAAAGCAGGAAAAGGTGAATGTGAATGAATACAGTTGGAAAAGGATAAGGAGAACAAAGAGAAAATATCTATACAGACAATCAGAAGAATTAAGCCATGTTCTAGACAACTGTGAGAAGCCATGGCGTGGCTTTACCCACCTGTCTGAACACGTTAGCTCTAACGTGTTCAACATCTAAAGCACCAATAGTTTATGGTTACCACTCACTGAAAAGTCTAGAGCAGCACCTTGCAACTGAGCTTTCTGCAGCGATAGGACCGCTCTATTCTCTGTTATCCAATCAGGTAGCCATTAACCCCAAATGGCTCTTCCATACTGGAAAACCATTAACTGACTTGCACAACTGAAAAACTGGATTTTTTTCTTCACACTAGAGATTGAACCCAGGGCCTTCACACTGAGCTATATCTCTAGCCCTTTTTACATTTTTTCAAAATTTTGAAACAGTGCCTTATTTAGTAGCTGAGACTAGGCTTGAATTTGTGATCCTCCTGACCAGCCTGCTGGAAATTATAGGCATATGGCACCACACCCAGCTTTTAATTTTATTTATTTTTTTTTATTTTAAAGAGAAAAAAAACAATAAAAATGATACAGAATTTCAAAACAAGATGATAGAAAAGTAATAATGGTTATTATAATGCATAGTGTTATCTTCAAAGTAGTTGCTCAGATTACCAGATATAGGCAGCATGTAAAACTGATCAAACAATATAAGCACTAACTGTTCCTTTCAATAAACTAGTAGAAATTAATAGTACAATTATTTTAGTTATCTTGTGTGTGTGTATATATATATAAATTTTCCCTTCCTTCTTTTCTCCTTTCCCCCATCCCAGTTGTTCTTCTTTTTGAGCAGTTTCTTCCCCTTTCACAGTATCTAGCTACATGTGGTTAGTGACTACCAGATTAGAAAGCACAGGTCTACAAGACAAAACTCTGATCAATTTCATAAGCTTATTTCAAAGCGTCATCAAGCTACTCATTTACATTCAGTAGATCATGCATCCGGATTTCAATATGATTTCATACCAGACCCAGCCCTTGTTGCCTGCCCCCTCTCTCAAGTTTCACTTTTATAATGATCTGACTCATTGTTCACTGTCTGCTGAATCAGGAACTCCACAAGGATAGCGTTGTGACTGCTTTACCTTCTACTCAATCCCAACCTGGACCAGGGTACACACACCGCACACTCTCTGTTAACACTTGTAAGCAGCTGGACGCCATAGGAGCAAGTCAAAGAAGAAGCTTCTGGTTTCGGAAGAGATCATGCATAAAAAGATGCTCCCTTGTATCCCACTCCTGACACACAAACACACAAAAAGATGCTCCCAAGCACTTGAGTCTCTTTTTAAGAGCAATTCTAAGTTATACAGACCAGCTATGTTCTTGGTAGTTCAATTTTTTTCTACCCATCCTCCACATAAAAGTAAACAGCAAGATTTACACATTCAATATTACTTTGTTATTAAAAAACTAGATTTTATGATTTTTCTGAAGTCACTTCTAAATCATTATGTAGTCCAAATTTTGTTTCCTCCAAAAAACACTTCAAATTCATGTACCTCTCTGCTGATATTCCATCAACTAAACACCGATAATCACTGCATTAGCTTAGAAACTATCTATATCTTTCTGTTTTACTTATAAAGTAAAGGATGTACATGTAAAAGCACATAAATTTATAAGCAAAACATGTATGTATGTACATGCATACACACATCCACACATATCCATACGTATTTATAGCTATGCACCCATATGCTATTATATGATGCTATTTTAATGACCAACTGTTCTGTTACACATTCTATCTATACACCCAGTTCTACACTTAAGGCCATATAAGTATGGTAGTCAGAAAGAACCAGATTAGAATTCTGGCTCTTCTACTTTCTAGACATACACATCTGAGTAAGTTACTTAGATCCTCTGGGCCTCAGTTTCCCTATCTGAAAACAATATCCAATTTCATGAGGTTTTTTAGGACAATTAGGTTGCATGCTGTCCATGAAAGCAACCAAAGGTTGCCTGATTCAAAGCAGGTGCTCTATGTTCACTGAATGACCTTATTTCGTGTTTCTTGTGACTCCTTTCAGAAATTTACAAACTCCCTAGGAATTAGACAAGAATTCATTATATTCTGACTTAAAGTGAACAAGGACTAACAATTAAAAAGAAGGTTGAAGGGCAAACTAATGATCAGGGATTGAACAAACAAAAGAATGAGATAAATTATAGACTTAAGAAAATAGGAAAACCCACTCAAAAAAGAAAGACATTTTTGTTGCTTGATTAATTGAAAAGCCTCTCTCTCTTCTTTGGAAATCATTCAAATCAGACCACCCTTGTAGAATCACAGTAGATTATACATTGCAGAACTGTGGCTAATAAATGATCTATTTATCTTTAAAGTTTTCAAGATCACAAGACCATTTATTGTTCAGCCTCAAACCTCACATTTGGTCAATTTGATTTCTAGTGTCTGTGCCTATTTTAGAGCTTCTGCATCTTGCAAGATGGCATATATAAATAGAACTGAGGTAAGTGACAGCTTTAACAATTTGTATAAAGAACCCAACAGTATGTAGTAACACAGTGCTCCTTTAAAAAGCTAACCTCTATAATTTATTGCTAGACTCCCTCATAGGGAGGTATGTAAAGAGTCAAGATTGTAATAAATAATGTCCACAGGAGAGAAGGGAAGGTTGTGGCACATATCCATACCTCGGCTTCCTGCAAGGTCCCGTGGTTTAGGCACACCATGTCAGGGCAAGTGATGGGAGACCCACAGCCTTCTCGGATTGCCAGCTGCATATAATGTCTCAGGCACTAGAAGTGAGAAGAAAAACGACAATTACCCACCCTATCACAGTAGCACAGAAGTTACATAACAGAGCCACCACTGTCTCTTCCTTAATTGGATGTTCTGGGGTTCTTGTACTGCAGAAATGTAAGTTATCACAAGTGCAAAGACTAAGAGCCATCACTTTGGAAAGAATGCAGAGAGTGGTAATTAATTATGCCTGACTTCATCGTGAGAGTTTATCCAAGTCAAAGTCCCATATGCTCACACAATTTATCCACCAGAGACTGAGGAAAGAATAGACTTTTGCACTCATGGCAAAAGCCTTGTTTGAGTATTTTAACTTATATGACTTCCTAATTGCATTTTTACATAGCCGTCCTCGCCCTCAAAGTTTACCCAAAAGTAGAATGGAACTTTTTGACCCTGGCACTGAGCTACACCGACATAATCAACATAAGATTAAGGTAGTGGCTTATCAAGGCACTTATTAAAAGCTAAAGATAGTGTCACGTTTTGGGACAGTCAGGTGACTTCCTCCTGACCAGGGCAATGAAGGCAACTTGGGAGAATGAGACCTCCATAAACAGAGGCCTCAGTTAATGACATGTTGAGGAAATTTCAGTAGAGAGAAGGCACTGGTCACTGGGAGAAAATAGAATTGAGTTTAAAAGAAGGAACCCAAAGGGAAAAGGAAGAGGACACCACGTAAAACTTTGGTCTACTCATTGGTTGCTGTGCGGTCCAGACCTTGGGCAGTGAGTGGGCCAGGGGTCAGACCAAGAATGTAGGAGGACTGCTAGAGCCCGGGAGGCCTCCAACGCCTCCTCTTACCCACCAACCCAAATGAACAGGCCCACAGGAAGGTAACGGATGTACAGTGTAGATCCCTGTGGTTCCAGGTTCCACATCTGCAGATTGGACCAAGTTCTGATAGAAAATGTTCAGGAAAGAAATGTGTATTATGCAGTTAAGTCTATGATGGCTGGGTCTGCACCAAGCATTTCTTGTCATTATTCCCTAAAAACACTATAACAGCTAGTTATATAACACTGTAGATTTTATTAGGTATACTAAATAAAAATTATTTCAAGCACCCAAGAGGATGTGTAGGTTATATGCAAGTTCTATAACATTTTATAGAAAGTACTTGAGCATCAACAGATTTGATATCATGGGAAGTCCTGGAATCAATCCCTATAGATCTCCAGGAACCATTTTAGTTCCAGCAAATAAAACAAGAAGCACAAAACCTGGCTCCTCAGTTTGTACTAATTTGTTCATCATTAGTGAGCCCTTTTCTATATGCATGACAAAAAGATGTGGAGCGCAAATGTTTAAGGAGTATACTGTTCCAAAAATACATAAAGTAGTCTATGAAGCGATGATTTCTACAGCATAATGAGTATTTATAACGGAGTTGTGATTTTCAAATGTACACATTTGTGTATCAACTTACATTAAACATATTGCTAGGTACCATTGCATAAATCATTATATAAGTCTATAGCCAGAGTATGTATGGCCATTGTGGATTCTAAGGCTTTCAGAGACCTTGTTTTACTCACTTTCCCCATTTGAAAAGGAAACTAATTCACATTATTTAAAAACATGTACTTATTTATAAAATAACTGTAAAATGACTATTACAGGTACTGACAAATCAATGACCAACGTCAACCATTTAAACCAAATTTGTATCTCTTCAAGTAGTTAATGGTTCCCTTCTCCTTCTCATTTTTTTTTCCTATCTCACTAAAACTAGAAAATAACCTAAATATCCAGCACTTAAATAAATGTGCTGAATTCATGCTACAAAATGCCTCAGAACCATAAATAATATTTTCAAGTGTCATTTAAAGACAAGAAGAAATGCTCATGATTTAGTATAATCTGGAGGATAAAGGAAATCTGGGAGCAGGGGTCCTCTTAAATCACTTTTCTGCTGTGACTGACCTCAATATGGATAGTAGATTTTGATGTTCATTTTCTTGTCTAAGAGAAAAGCACACAATTACTTGCTCCAACATTACTGAGCCAAATGCTATATGGTCTTAATATCAGGACCAGTGGCATACAGAAGACAGCAGCAGGAAAGCAATGGGAGCAAGAACTTCAGCAGGCAGGCAAAACCCCACGGGAGCAATAAAGTGACTCTCACCAAGGGGATCACCAAGGGACAAGGGACAAAGAAGCTGTGTTCCTGAGGACCTCTTAGCCTTCCATCAGTCACATCGGTTCCAGCATCACTGCCTTCATCCCAACCCAGGTGCCGTGTAAAGACATTGGGGTAAACAGACTCTAAAGAGAAATGGTCTTCAGGCTTCTGAGGAAAGCATCTGAGGACAGCAAAGTGAGTGGTGCAATGGACTACAGAACCTAGAAACCTGGTCTAGACCCAGCTCCACTCCACCAGATGACAGTGGAAAAATGACTCTGCCTAGGACCCAGACTGGTTTTTCTTAACCTTGAAAATGGAGACAATAACATCTGTTACACTTTCCTTATAGGGTTTTAAACACATGCACCTGCACACACATGTGCACACACACACACATGCATGTGCACACACACCCCTGAAATTTTATTTCTAGAAGCACCCTTATAAATATACAAATTGCAGAGTATTAGGCCATGCCTTTATTCTCTTCACTTGGACTTTAATAGTGTACAGTCATTTCAATTAAATAAACACATGTTTTTAAAGTAATGCAATCTTGATTAGTTTTATTAATTCAAGTGAATATAAAGTTTCCTATCAAAAACTTTGTGGAAATTGTTAGACCTTTGGCCTTCTGAGAGACCCTTTCTCTACTCCCAGTAAAAAGCAGTTATGGATGAAGAAGCTGTATAGGCAGAGCAGATAGCTTTAAAAGAAGATTGCAAGTGTTCTAGGAAAGCTTCTCCTCAGGACTTACTGTTAAATATGAACTAGAGACACTATTTGAGTCTCTTTATGAAAAAAAGAAAGAAAGAAAGAAAGAAAGAAAGAAAGAAAGAAAGAAAGAAAGAAAGAAAGAAAGAAAGAAAGAATTTGGAAAGTTGAAATGGAGACAAACTCCCCGCGCCCGCCCCCCCCTCATACCGGGAATCAAACTCATGACCTCGTGCTTGCCAGGCAGGCACTGTGCCACTGAGCTAAATCCCCAGCCCTGGAAAGCTGAAATGTAAGTTTCCCCTTTAGCCTACAATGGATGTTCCATTTGCTAATAGAGTGTTCTTGGTATACTGCAAACCAAGACACATCAACCTAATGAATTTTAAACCTTCCCACAAGCACTCTCTTAACTACAGATAATACTGTGTAACCTATGATTTTAGAAGAAAAATTGGAGCTCTAGACATTGACTACAGGCTTTAACTCTCTTTTTATTCCCTGCAACACTGGGTAAAGATAGAGATTTGCAATGCATGCCGTAATCTTAGAGCACGGGCACTGGACATGCCATCGCTGTGCACATGCACTTCTACTCAAAATCAAAGAGTGACAGCAGTCCTAGTTATTTACTGAATTTTCAGGTACCTTGGGTTCATGACATGCTTCCATTGGCTTTCACTGAATAATTCAATATCTCTGGCTAGTACAGCATGCTGAAAACATGAGCTCCTGTGTATTTTGTACAAAGTAAATATAGGTAAACTGTCAAAATTCTAGAGAAAAATATTGGCATCTAGCTTATAAATATAGAGAATAGAAAAGAAAAACTTCTGGCATTTCATCACATTTTAAAAATTACATTTAATTAAATAATGTTACACAGAAACCTAAATATGCAAGTTTCTTAACAGCTAACCAATTCTAAGAAGAATGCTTTATGCAGAACATTTTAAAAACCCAGATGACCCATGAAAGAAGGAACAACTTTTTCTTTTGAATAGTCAATATTTTATTTAATTTTATTTAATTACCTTGGTAGAACACAGAAGTACTTTTAAGGCCATAAGGGCCACACATAAATAACAAGGATTATTTGTCAAAGTTGCTTGGCAACTCTCAAGGATTCAGATGGGATCTAACCAAGGATTTAACCACCTTGAATCACTGGTGCAGGAGATGACTTATAGCGCCTCTTCTAACTCAGAGCCTATGAATAGTATCAATGGAATTTTTCAAGAAGGGAATTTCTCCTAGACCACTTTTCAAGGGGCATTCCTCTAAGGTAGTCTCATCAGTTATGGTGGGCATGCCAAAAAGGCCCTATTAGGACAAAGCACCTATGTACCCACCCAAGAACAAGATACAAGAGAGGCATTTTTAAAATTCACCATACTGTTCTTTGCTCTCTTATCACTAGACTATGCCTCTCTTAAGGTTTTTTCTAAGGAAAAAAAAAAAAAAAAAAGCATTCCAAAGAATAATGACTAGAACTGGATGCCAACAATTGCCTCTACATGTTAGGTAAGTCATTAGCCTCTGTCGCTACAATACTGTCATTTATAGTGGGACAGCACCACCTCTGTTGCCTGCTGTCAGGGAAATGGGGAGCCCCCTACTGGAGTGGAAACAAGAAAATATGTGAAAAGTTGACAAGGTCTCCATATATAAAGTATAACTGGGGAATGGAATAGGTATATCTATATGACAGACAAGAACACATGTGGAAGGGTAAGTGCCCAAACAGAAGTGACCTGTAGAGATCAGTCTCATGGGGGTGGGTAGGGAGGAAGGAGGTAACAAGTGCGGAGAGTTTCAAGTTTAAACTGCCTCCCACCCCAGGGTCTTGTCTGCTTCTGAATGCAAGTGCGGGATCCTCAGGTCGAAGAACTAGCAGCCCTCTTGGCTTGAAGTTGAGTCCGTGACCTACTAACTTAGGGTGTCTCAACCCTAACTCAACCACGGAGGGCAGGGGTGGCTAAAAGCCAAAACCTAGATAGACTTTGAGTGTTTATTTTGTTTTTATCACTCTTAATACAACATGTGAATTAAAGTGGATATTTCATAAAATTCAGAGGGACGTTTCTCTGTCTCAGTACGTAATTTCCTCACAATAGCTCCAGTGTGTTCTAAGTACCATCTCATATTGAG